GTGCTCGCCCCAGATCGACGCAGATTCTTCGAGCCCGAAACATGGCATGTAGGAAACAAGACATGAAACGAAGCCGAAACAAGTCGTGGAGGATTGCAACGACGCGGCTGCTGTTGATAGAGGGAAAGACGAGAAGACCCTGCGTGATATGACGCAGCACGGCAGCCATCGAAACAACCCCTTCGTTTAGGCTGCGTAGGTATGTCCTTATGATTCCCATGTCGAGTGGGATCAGGGGAAACATTGCATATTGGCCACCGCCATGAAAGTATGCGCCTTGGATCTTGGGTCATTGGTATCATCAATGCCATGACTATTATCCACTTCCCGCAGGTCCAACGCGTATTGCCCCCCTGATGGCAGCATTATGTATCTAGGACGGTCTTTCCTCTACTGTAGGTACCGATCCAAGAGGCTACCCCACATTGGGGCCGATTCAGGATCTGCAAATCTCAGCAGAAGCCATCTTTACCTCTCACGCATGTCATCTAGCCACCACGAGGTAAAATGACTTGTTCTCTGGCACTTCAGCTACCGTTTTGTCCTCGACATTGCCGAGGCTTACACAAGAAGAAAATCCGATGGTACGCACAGTCTAACGGCGACGAGGCGCATTGCTTCGGGATTCGAGCCGTTCGGGCTTTAACCCCTTGCTGAAGACAAATTCGACTCTGTTCTCCAGGCTGTGGGGGATGTGCTGGACTGAACACGATCGATATTTGCCCTCAGCTGGTGGAATCTCCGCGGTTGGCCAATCACCATGGTGATTGGAGCTGCCCAGAAGCCCGGGCTCCAACCTCGGCGACCAAAACACGGTCGTGGCGACAGATCGAATGACCACCACCAACACAACGAGGGGACCACTTGACCACCGTGATTTGTTCAAAGACCATCTGCCAAGCCGTGGCTTATCGACTCAATCAGCCAAATGAACTATATTCAAGTACCCCCTCCTATTTTTCGTTAGCACCCCGTCGTCGGGATGGATGAGGCGGGCCACTGGTAGCAACTGGAATCTTCAAAGGATCCTGGTAGTGCGATCGTGCTAATCTGGATTGGGCTAGTTATGGGGTGCTATAGTAACAGTTCTACCAAGTACGTTCAAAAGACTGTGTCGCGTCCACCGCTCAGGCTGTAACCTGTCGTAAGCACATGTCATCCGAAATATTCTACTTGTTTGCGACTGGGGCACGAGGGGGCTGGCAGGGTGGTTGCTCAATTAGGTAGCGTGGATCAGTGGGTGTGGAACCACCATCCATTTGCCCGGTGCTAGCGAAAAGTACCCTTGAATATCTTAGTAACGTCGTCAAAGTGCCACACGAGTTCAAGGTAGATGAAGCTTCACTAGTCCTTACAGGACCACATGCCAATGAGGTCGACGCGTATGCCTGGCACATCTCTATTTGAAAATATGTACTTCCGTTACTTTGAAGCAGAAACTCCTCCAAGGTGGGGTGCATAGAAGCAAAGCCTGAGAAAACCTTCTCAGACTCTCCATCGGTTCGAATTGACCAACGGTACCGAGTAAACAATCACTACCTGAGTTAGCCCGAATAGGGTGGTAACCCGGCGCCACTTACTTGACTGTAAGTCGTCAAGGACACTTGAAATTCACATGTGTGAATAGGCGAGTCTAGATATTTGCGAGCTGGGGTCTAGTCTTCGTCACAAACGACAACAACGGGCGTGAAGCTTTCCCCTTCCGAGCCTGGGAGGTCAAGTTTCAATGGAGTCGAGGTTCAGAGACCCTGAATGGACTGCATAAAGTATGGCGAGTGTGGCGGCCGCAGTCAAGCTGCACCAGAATGCCCGTCAGGGGCAAGGCCGAAGTTACCACCCACCAAACCCGATGCACCCTGCTCCCGATGATTGGCGTCCTACTCTCTAGCAGCGACAGGGAGAACCCGAAACAGATCTCCAAAACAGACTTCAAACCCCTGCCTCGACACAAAACCCTCTCCGGGGTCAAAAGCCACACCAACTTTCAGGCTCCAAACCCAAGCAATGTCCAAATTGAAGCGCCTGCAAGGGGCAGTCAAGCTGCGCGAGACATCTCGCCCTCACACATCCCTGTAAGCTCCCAAAACAGAGCAAAAACCGTTCCAGGGCAACAAGCCCAGTCCCCAGCCTCAGCCCCCTGCCCCTGCCCCTGCCCCTGCCTTTGCCTTCCTCTTCGCCTCCACCTCCACAATCCACACTCAATGTACCTAACCTACCCTAACCCAACGCGCAAGACATATATCATTCTACCGCACAACGCTATGAAGATCTGTGTCTCCGAAAACAGAAGGGGAAGGCCCAAGATGGCTTGAGAGAGCAGACCAAGTGTGCTGGCATATCTAAAGTGACCCAGTTCCAGGAATTCACACTGAACGAGGCAAATGTGATAATAGCGATCTCGTACACAAGCATTGGAGCAGATTCCAACCCACAGCCAGCAGGGGAAAACTCGCTAGAGACTCGTACAGGTAACAAATGACCCCCCTTTCCCTCACGGCTAGACGATGGCGGCATCTAGACGAAGACAGAGATAACATTTTGCGTTCGACCACATTGGTCCGCAGCGTCAACCACTGCAAGCCTCCTCCCTCCTCCCATTTCTCATCAGCTTGGCGAGTCGATTTCCACCTCCGTGCCTTCGCCAGAAGATTCTATCCCAGCGAATGTGAGTTCTACGGGAACTGCTAGTATTACACTCAGGACCGACGAGGCCAAAACAAGTCCATCTGCACGAGCAGAAACAGATCAACAGACCAGGGGCACGCCCACCGCTCAAAACACCACGGCGTCAGTGTCCGCCAGTGATATTTCACTCGTCGTCATTCGGGATATTGACATGACACAAGCACCCGATCTCGACGACCATCGAATCTCGAATCGGGCAGCCAGCTTTTCAAATCACTCCCACCAGCAAAGCTATTTGTCCGGCACGCTCAAAATAGGGTAGAAGAAACAGACCAACGTCACGGTTGCTAGGATTTGAATCTCCCGAATCCGGTCCCGTTGAGGTGGACAAATGCACACCCTCGACCTCGCCCTCGCCCTCACCGCCAGCCAAGCCACTAGTCTACCCTTGGGAGAGTCTCAATGAGTCTCGTTCATGCCACTCGACAGAAGGAATAGAAGGAACGAGGCTGGCCAGATCTATTGAGGAGAGATCCTGTCGCCACAGTGCAAAGTGTACATAAAGAGGCAGATTCTCACCCCCGGGCACATGGAAACACAATGCACCAAAGACATAATATTAAACTCTTACCGACCAGATTGACTTTGGCGACAGCAGGCTCAGCGCTACACCGCTGAAATAGTTCCCGAAATAGTGCATCCTCGGTCCGGTTACGGTGTCAGGGCCAATCTCTTGGCATCCCGGTCACATGACCCGTCGTGGATGTGTTTGAATAGCTCGGCGAGTCGGTGCTACTGTACGACAAATGACGCTCGAATGGTGCCATTTGAGGTGCCTTTTCTGGACTATCTGTGACTATCTGTGACACAGGATTCCCATAGGATCATGCAGTCACAGTCCATCGCTCATAATCACTCTCAACCTTTCCAGATGACCCATGATACTTTATACAAGTCGTCAATTCATTACCCAGTACCTGTTGAGGCTGTTCCTGTAGATTATTAATAGGATCCGTGACCTTGATAGATGGCCAAATCTGGACTAGCGACCAACAATCGTTATTTCTCTCATGCCCTTGCCTCTGACATCTCGATATGTTTCCGGGTGTCAAAAACATATCCACGGGCATCTGACTGGAGGTGGTGGTCAGTGGAAGAGTGCTACAGGCATAGGTAGTGTGGCGCAGACGTTGTGGCAGGCGAAGCTGGTGTCAGCGAGGTGTACCTTTCAATCGTGATCAAAACATGTCCTCTCCCAAGAAGTTGATAGATTGTGAGACCGCCGTCTGTTGTGGACTTGTATCACTCGTTACACGGAGTACCAGGTAGGCATAGCATGTACAGTTGGCCAGTCCGATTCGCAGGGAGGGTCGGCCCGCTTTGGTTAGAGTGGTTTTCCACCAAGCATTCTGAATAGGTTCTCGAGATTTATAGATAATCCCATCCTGCGACATCCCCAGAGTTTGACTGGACTGAAACGGTCAGGACGGCCTCTCCCGCTAGCAGCTGCAGGGTAGATCAAAGGGTACCGATACTTGAGACCGCGCCCGGTGCCCATGAACCGAGAACGTCGCCAAGCAAGTTCCTACCAGTTCTAGCTACCATATACACCCAGCACAGCTCACCATTAAACCTTGGCGAAAGACCACATAGAGATTTTCTTTTGTGTTTTCTGTCTGTTGCGATTGCAGGCCTCGTTCCCTCTATCTTGAATTCAAAATTATACTCGTCGTCGTCGTCACCATCATCGAAACTCCTTCAAGCTGATAGCGAGCAGAGCGTCGACAGGGCATGTCCAAACTCGTTTCTCCAACCCACACCCTACTCAGATCTTATATGCCGCCTCAACCTTCATTGTACCCATACATGGCCAACTGGCTCTCGGACTCACTGCGTCTGTGGTACGCCTCGCCCCCATCCCCAGCGAACCGCTGGATTCTACCATTCCCAGAAAAACGCTGCCTCCCACCCTCACCAGCAAAACACTGATTCAAGCATTATTGGACCTCAAACCCCAACTTCGTCACAGGGTGTGCGGTCAATAAGCGCACCAGGCATCGGCGTCACAGGGAGCCAATGCCAGCCATCCTCCTCGCAAAATGGCCAGACAGTAAAGATGTAAACGAGGTGGAGACAATGTGGAACGTTACAGTGAATCCTTACTCAGACTGGCATCTATAGATTCCGACTCAAGCGAGAGCCATCACGCTGTGCATGGTGTTTCCATCACCACCTCTCTCCCCGAATGAACACCGGAAACAAAGCAAATCGAATGCCAATCATTCGCGATCCATTTAACATGCCTGGATTCGCCCCCAGGTGATTACATTCGGAAAATACCTGCTGCTCCAATCGAAGCTGTGTAGTTCGACATAATGTCGTTTGCTCAAGAGTTGGGGACCTATGTCAACTGGGTGGTATAACGCGATGACGCACAGCAAAGATTCCTCGAGAATTTTGACCACGCGTCTGAGGGACATGCAAACTTTGCGCAGAACAAGGGAGACCTCCTGCTCGCTATTGCCTCCAGCGATTGTCCAGCTCATGCTCTTGTTTTGAATCTCCACCGGGTGTCGAGGCATGCGGCTACCCAATTATTCTACACATTGGCTACCGCACTCAATTCACTCAATGTGGATCGCCGCCCAGCACCACAGATGGAGCCACAATTCATTGTTAGCCAGCTCAGTACGTTGATGCAGGTAAGAGTCCGGAAAGGCAATCGTCCAGAGCCTGTCATCGCACCACAGCTCGGGCAAGAATTCCAAAGCTTCACAACCAAGATCCTGAGCGAATACACGGCCAAGATGATAGCCTCACGAGATGGGGATCGCTAGAAACCGGAAAACTTTGCGCTCCATTTAGCAGAGCAGTTCATAAACAGCCGCGTTCCCCGAAGTTTGGATTGATGGCCGACTTGTCCGACTAGACACACAGTTAATCCGCCACCTATAGGACCACTAGCATCTGGTCCGACAGTCTGATCCTCTAGCGAAGAAGCAAACTCTTGTCCTTCTTGTACAACTTCTGCTGTGGAGGGCACGTTGCCGGGAAGTCCAAGCAAACAACCTCTAGTTGCTCCTTGGTTCTAATGTTTTGTCATAGAAGAAGCGCCCGATTGGGTATTATAGCAGTGGCAGCTAGTAGATAGCACTTCGTCAGTCTCAGCACGATTAGGTGGAAAATCAGTTCATCAGCCACGCCTTCGCTTGCCAAATGTGCTCGGACGGAGCATATCGGGAAAACAAGAAGAGATACATAGAAGCGGCAACGAGAAATATTCAACTAGACCTGTTCGCCCTAACAATATCTCCGCTGTACGCGAGTCGCCCCATGAGCTGGAAATTCCCGCCGTCATGGGTTCTCAAGCATCTCCCACTCCATCCTACTTTCCATACTGAGGACTGCCTCCGGACAGCAACCTCGACCTCGACTTCGTACAACCTCGAATTCGCGAAGTGCTTGTCAGGAACGGCCAACACCAGATTTTGCTGGCGTTGGTTTCCATGTACTAGTCCTGCTTCGTACACATGCAATACATACGTGATTCAAGGTTCTGAATATCTGACCTCGCCGTCGCCTGTCTCCATATCAACGACCTCTTCGAACGACGCCAAATTGACCTCGACCTCGCGGTGATCCTTCGCCCGAGGCCTCCTAAAAAAGTCCGAAACCTTCTCCCACCTTCAACAGCGCTGCCCCAACTTGGAAAAAAGCCCAAAGGGTCCGCAAACGGACTCTTAGAATGGTTGAGTCGGGGCCACATGGGGTTTCTGCCTGGGTCACTAGAGGCAGAAATGGAAGATCTATATGGACCGCGAGAGATCTGTCAAAACACTGAGAAATCCTATACAACGAGGCCGCAGTGAGGTCTAGAATCGAAAGAATAAATGAATTTACAGAGGATGTTGTTTGAAAATTGACGTCACCTGGTTTTGGTCGCGCCAGACTCTGTCATGAGTTGTGTCCTCTGTGACTGGTGGGCTCTTTGGGCACCAGGTTTTGGACAAACATTGCTTGGTGCATGTGTTGAGGTAAGTTTGATGGCTGTTGTGCTTGACCTTGCTGATGGATTTTGGGCAGGGTTCAGTTGGCGGTGCTCGAGGTGTACGGCGCACCGGGCAGGATGGTTCAAAAATGCCATCTGCCACAGCAAAAAAGAGCAAGGTAGGATGATCCGGCAGGGTAGGAAAATGGAAGATAATTTTGGTTCATGTCCTTGAACAGTTGACTGCGATGACAAAGATGACAGTGAAGGCGATGGCGATGGCGACGACGACGACGAAGAGATCAACGAAAGAAGACAACGTAGAATGACAACTTCGAGCACGCGGCCTGTCAACTAGCGCCAATATTCTTCATTCACTACCTATTAAATGAGTCGGAAACCTCTGGCTTTTACCGTGTCCATCAAAGACTTTGATGAATCCGACAAGGCCAACCGAATGCATGGGCAGGAGTTTGATCTAGCTCCTTTTGCTCGACTCCTCACGTAGCGGCGGGAGAGAAGGAAGCTCTACGTGAGGGAATGAAGCGGAGAGAGAAGTGATCATATTGAGAAGACGATCACTTGTTTGGACTTGTCTAGCCCTGACGTAAACCTCTCTTCTTGCGCAAATTTCAACTCGTCGAGCTCCTCGGTCTTCGCCAGCGACTCCTCAAAGTCCTTTTTTGTCTTGGCTGCCAGATTGGCCGTGTCGGTGTCGGCTCTGCCGTTAGTGGTTGACGCTTCAGCAGTTGCTTGATGGTCTCTATCAACCTGACTGATGTTGCAGGCTCACACTGAGCTGATCATGTCGACTTCGCTCGACTCGCGAGGACTCTATGCTCGATCAACCCTCGTTCAACGTAGGCAGAACCTTGACAGGGGACTCGCTCATGGATGATTGTTTGTAGGTTTGCATTGAACCGTTTCGCAGGGACTCGTTAACCTTGATCAATCTCCGTTCAGTAGAGCCTGGACAGAGGACTATGTGAGATGGGCTCTTCATGAGACCGACCCTTACGAGAGTGACGTGAAGAGCGCCGAGGGCACAGTGTAGGAAAAGGCGAACCGCCTCTGTGGAGCAGTGCAGGGAAGGGAGGTGCTTCTATGGGCGCAGTTGGCCATCCGCGGATCTCACAGATACACTTGTGACCAGCACTAACACCTAGATTCTTGAGGGCGCTCAGAGAAGCAGAAGGTTGTAGGGGTGAAAGTGTCTGTTGGTCCCACCGCGGAAGATGTCAGGTTGACAGGAGTTGATCATGATGAAGGGAGGGCTATAAATGGGTTTGAACCAGAGTTTTCTTCTCGGGAACGAGAATTGAGGTAATGAATCGTCTTCTGGTGTTGGTGTTGCAGAGGACAAGTGGCGGAGGTGCAGCTTGGATCAAAAATGGATATACGGTCTATTTTCAGAACTTATGTCCAGGCATGTTCGGCGGTCGACAGGCCGAACGCTAGGCAGCCATAGCGCCCCACTCTAGGCGATAATTTGCTGAATATATTTTACATCTCCCCAAAATCCCTCTGGGATTTTATCCCATGTGAGTGCCCACCAAAAATCCTCTTTTCGACGCTTGCTAATCATATTGCAGTTGGTCAATTTGAAACGATACAGAGAAGATTAGCATGGCCCCTGCACTAAGGATGACACGCTTCTCAAAGAGTGCTACAAGTTTTTTTGCCGGTTGATTTTGTTTCGAGTTCGACCCTGGGTGACAACGATTAATTTTTATTTTTTTGTTCAACTTCAACAGGTTATGGGGGCGAATAAAGGTCGCTCTTGGCGTGGAGAGAAAATCGCCACTGTCTCTTGCCTCCAGTTTCGCATCGAAACCTCAAGCATACCGCATACTATCGAAAGTTACTACAAAGCAATAGGACGAACGTACGAAATACATTTACGACTAAGCCCTTTTTGACCACTGTTTTTTCGTGCCGGGAACGACGCAAAAAATGATACATACTGAAACAACACCGTCTGCACAGGACAATTTGATACGCGTTCGACCACACAAGGATTTTTTCTGGTTTTTCCTCACATCATCACCCCAGTTCTGGACAGTGTCGATGTCGCGCTGAAGAACGTAAAACCATCATGGTCCTTATTGTGCGCTTGTCGGTGAGGCTGATTGAGAAATCTCCAGCATTCGCACTCAATACCCCTTCGCGGCAAACTCAGACTCTGTCCACTCCCACAGTTTCTTGGCCAACCCCGAGTCTTGACTCTTCTTAGACCCAAGACTCTCCTTGCCGACCGGAACGTAATACGCGCCGTTCTTGACCTCCTGCCTCCTCCAGGTGGCCGCCCAGAGTTGCGTCAACGTGCCCTGCTGCACGGGCAGAGCGCCCGCCATGTAGTCGAAGAATTTCTGAAAGCGGCCGAAGAAGCTGTTCTGGTCGAACATTACGTTGGTCAGGTTCGTCTCGACGCGGCCAGGGTGAATCGACGTCGAGAGGATCTCGGGATACCGTCTGGCGAGCTCCCTTGCGTGCAGGATGTTGGCGAGCTTCGACTGCCCATAGAGTCGTGCGGGAACGAACGATTTCATGGGCGTTTTCAGTTGGGCGAAAACAATCCCCGCGCCAGGGGCCATTTGATGTGCGCCGGACGAGACGTTGATAATGCGCACGTCTGAGCCCGGTTTTGATGCCGTCGCTTGCATCAAAGGGAGAACAAGACGGGTTAGCAGCGCATGGCCCATATGATTGGTCCCAAACTCGATCTCGTAGCCATCTTGCGTGAGGCCGTGCGGATGGGCCATGATGCCGGCGTTGTTGACCAAGATGTCGAGCCTGTCGTTTTCCGAGAGAATTTGGTCTGCTGCACTCTTGACGGATGCCAACGAAGACAAATCCAATTGCAGGAACTTAACGTTCGCATTGGGCGCTGCCGCCGAGATGTCCTTCATGGCGTCGTCATACTTGGCTTCCGATCGAGCAGCCAGGTATATCCGTTGTGGGTGGTGCTTTGCTACCTGCAAGACGGTTTCTTTGCCGCAGCCACTGTTTCCTCCTGTCACGACGATGACCTTGCCCGCAAGATCCGGGATGTGTTTGTCCGGATCGAAGCTGTGGACATTGTCCAAGGGATTGAGGAAGCCGAGAGGGTGCATGACTTGAAAGGAGACTAGAATTTGTCAGGACTTTTCGAACCAGGTGCTCCTGACAAAGAATGCGAAGGAGAGACCGTAACCATTGTTTCTTGGACAGTGCTTCCCTTATTTACCTGTACGTCTCCCTCTATGGGCAAGTGATGGGGTGAAATAGAACATGGGTGGAGTTCGACCGTGTTTGTGCGAGTCGGACCATGATTCTCCCTAGCGCAGTAATTCATCTCAACCAATCAAACGAGCATGATTGCGAAATGATGGTTGCCTAGTCAGGTCCATCGACCGGCTCGGACAACTGCTTGTATTGACTTTCGCATTATAAGGGCATGTTGGTGGTGGTAGTGGTAGGGGTTGCAGTGACGCATAAAACGTCAACAACTGAAAAGGGAGGGAAAAAGTACCTTCGACACTGGGCTTTTTACTGCGCAACGCACCCATCATGCCTTCTTCCGCCCTCTCAACCATCAACGCCTTTCGTTCTCGCGGCTGGCGGTTACTCTTGGAGCTGTGGCGAGAGCATATGGCGACGTCCAACAAGCCGACGAAGACCAATCTCAAGCTCCTGTCGCCTGTGCATCCTGCATTGACGACAAACGTGCAACTCCGCTCCACTCCAGCTCCCCAGGGCCTACCCAGTACAGTCGTCAGCGCTCGTCCTGGTGCCATCAAAGAGAGCTCTGTCATGAACGGAACTTGATTGGACGCTGTCGAAGTGGACAACATCCGCCTACTTGTGACA